CTTTCGGTCGCCAAGCAAGGCACTAGCCGCAAATGACGAGGATGGCTGCGACGGAGTTGTCTCCGGCCACCGGCGTTATACGGCAGTTGGCATAGTTCACGATGCGCGAATCAATTAAACGTACCTGTTGCTCCATCTCCCGGACCTTGAACTCGTGGGCTCCGAGCTTGGAGTAGTCGACCGCCTCGTCCTCCGCGTTGCGGTCCTTGATCATGTTCTGCACCTGGCGCACGAGCGCCCTGCATGCAGCACCGACAGCCTTGCTGGCCTGCTCGAGGTTCTCTTGGCTCTTGGACATGAAGCCAGCCTTGACTCTGCTGGCGGCGACGAGCTGAGCCGTGGAGGCTGCCACGTCGTTGGATGCCACAATGAGCTGCTCGGGGCTGTTGCGGTTCGACAAGACGCCGTCTGCGGTCTCGATCAGGGTGTTGGTGGAGGACGCCACGGCCTTGGCTGCTGAAATAAGACCCTCGGTCCATCTGTTGTTCTTCTTGTAGAAGGCGGTTCTCGAGGACGAACCTCGGCCTGCCTGAACAATCTCCTGCTGCGTCACCGTGGCGGCCTTGATCAGCTGCGCAATGGCGTTGGTGATGGCCATGGCGGCATCGAGAATGCCGTCGTGGACCTTGAGCTCGTAGGTAGAGTACCCTTCGCGAGGCTTGTTCTTCAGCTTGGCGAGGCGAGCAGCAGCGGCCGCGATGGCATCGGCCGCCTTGCTGAGTTCGGAATCGACAATATCGCCCAAGTCGCCCTTGCCCGCGAGCTTGCCAGTGTTGGGCGCGAATGTCTCGACAAGCTTGTTCAGCTTCTGAAGGTTCATCTGCACCTCGTTATTGCTGTTGATGACAACGTCGGTCTTCTGGATGGGATCCATGCCCTCCAGGCGGAAGCTCTGAAGGCCGCGGAAGAATTTGACGGTGGAAGAAGCGGACTGCCGGGTGCCGTTCATCAGAGCATCGCTCTTCTTCTCGTCGGTTGCCAGACGGGTGATACCCTTGGCGTTGCTGCAGACATCCGCAAGAGCACCAGCAAAGACGTTGATGGCCTTGATAAGCTCGGCGTGTGTCGCGTTGGGGCCGTCGGCGATGAAGTTGTTGAATGCGGTAGCAAACTCCATGGCGCTGGACGACGCCTTCTCAATCTGCGAGAGCACGTAGGATGGAGAAGCGTTCTGGTTTCCTGCCTGCATCGTTGAATCCAACTCGTAAAGCGCATCATCTACTCTCTGCACACCGGATTGCAGCACAGAGTCGATGATGTCGTTGATCTTGTCCAGGTTGGCCATGATCAAGGCATCAATCTGTCCGTCAATAACGGTGTCGGTATCGCCTTGGTTCAACTTCAGCTCGTTGAGCTCGATAAGTGTCTGATCCATGCCGGCCTTGTAGACTTCCAACTCCTCCTCCTTGTCGCGAAGAAGCTGTTCAAGGTCAGAGTCTCCATTCCTGATCTTGGCCTGGGCGTCGTCCAGAGCGCGAGACTTGAGTCGCAGGGCCTCCTCGAGATCGGCCATCTCACGGTTGTACTTAGACAACATTGTTGAGAGCTCGTTTCCTTTGCTTCTCTCGATGTTATCGGCACGATCCAGGGCCATGCGGAGCTCTCGCTTGAGCTTTTCGAGCTCATCCTTGTTGGCGCCCTGCAGGCGGTCCTTGTCATGGAGCGCGCGGTCCCTCTCTCTGATCATATCAGCGAGCTCAAGGTTCTTCGTCTTGATCTCGCGTTCAAGCTTCTCTCGCCGTTCAATAGCCTCCTGAGCTGAGGCAGCCTTGAGCTGCACAGACTTGAACTTTTGGAGCAGATCCAAGTGCTCGTGGCGAAGCTGGGAGTACAGCTTTGCGAGCGCTTCGTACTTCGTCCGCCACGTGTTAACCTGCTCCTGTAGAGCTCTGATTTGCTCATCTTTGCTCGTGATCTGCTGGCCGTAATGTCCTTGGATCTGTGCAAGCTCATTCTCCAGACCCTTGACCCTCTGGTCGTATTGCTGGAGCATAAGCTGGTCACGCTCATACTGGGCTCTCGCATTGAAGTTCTCCTGTTCCAACTCTGCAAGCCGACCCTGGGTCTGATACTGCATTTGCTGCTGCATCAGGGCCTCCTGCTCCCTGCGCTGCTGCTCCGCCAACTGTCGCTGCTGCTCCTCAAAGTCCCGTTGTGCCTGCTGCTGCGCCTGTTGCTGCATCAACATCTGCTGACGCTGTTGTTCCTCGAGGACTCTCTGCTGCTCTTCGTACTCTCGGTTCTGGCGCTCCAGCTCGTTCTTCCAGAACTCGGAAATATCATCTGGCTCCTGTGATTTCGGTTCAGGGGGTGGAGTGGGGCGTCTCTCAATTTCCTGCTTCGGGCGCGCCGGAAGTGCGGGTGCCTCGTCGTCTTCCGCCAACAGGTTGGGAGGGTCTTGCGGCAGCTTGGGGATCGTTATCAAGCTGGTCAGATAGCGCAGGTTGGAGCACTCGTAGTAGAACTTGACGAGGCGGTAATGTTGGGCATCGTATCGTTCTCGTAGGGGCGAAAGCGCCTCGACGTCGCCGGTGGCTGTGCCCGATTAGCGAAATCACCCTTGCCCGCCTAGGGGGGGGGGGGGGGGGGGGGGGGGGTGGTGGGAGGGGGGGGGGGAGGGGGGGGGTGGGGGGGGGGGTGGGGTGGGGGGGGGGGGGGGCGCCGGGGGGGGGGGGGGGCGCCGAGAAGGAAACCCCCCCCGGGGGGGGGGGGGGGGGGGGGGGGGGGTCCGATGCAACTTACTCGAGTGCATGGCGCGAAGCATGCTTGTGATGAACTTGTAAATACCGTAGCTCTCCTGCACGAGGGGCACAAGAGAGGAAATACGACACTCGTTGTTTCCAACGTGACGGAAGTGTGAGAAGATCAACTTCTGGAACTGCTCAATCTTATCTTGCAGTGTCATCAAGTCTGTGATTGTCTCGTACCCCTCGTTGGGGTCGTTGATGGCCTTCAAGCTGAGGTACTCCTCGTATTCGAAGGTGCCGTTAAACTCGGGATGCTGCTGGTGGAAAGAAAGCTTGGCCAGGAGGTAGTAAACGTATTCCCGGATCAAAGGGCTGTATCCGCGCACTCCCTCTCCTCCCATGCCGCGATTCAAGCTGTCTATCCAACCTCTCTGAGCCATGGCCTCCCTCAGCGTGTTCGGGTGTCCTTCTTGGAGGACTTTGTGGACCGTAATCAGAGCTTTGAAAGTCTGAACTTCGTCGGCAAGAATGGGTTGCCTACAACGTGGCGCCGTCTGTCAGCGATCGGGCCATCTCCCGACTTACAACAGTTCACTTACACCTTCATGCCAGCCCAGAAGGCCTGAGAAGACCGGTGGTCCCATGTGTACACAATGCAGCTGCGCACATGTTTCCGCTTCGGCGCCGTCTCGTCGGGGTTCGTGGCCTTCTTGATGTTGATCGCCAACTCCTGGTCGGTCCTTCATAGAGTGTCAGTGCACAGTCGCAAAGTCGGGGAGACTGCCACGATTGGGCCACAAAGTCTCAAGATGGTTGAGGATTACGGACTTAGTATGCCTGGTATCGGGCACGGCAGCCATGATGGGCGATCCTTCGTGCGCGGGGTCGTTGGTGGTGGTCGGAGGTGAAGGGCGCTTAATGGGGGTTTCGGATGGTTCGAGGAAATGACGTCTCCCGACGGTTTAAGGAGACAGCTCCACGTGCACGCAATGATGCCCAAGAATCTCAGTGAAGCCCAGTGAAAGATGTAGGGGGAGAAGAATTCGCAGGAATTGGAGGGGAAGAAGATATTGTGAGCGACTTCCGTGCCAAGTGGGAGAGGCGGGAGAGAGTCGTCAGCGTTGACCAAGCTCTCAAGATGTCTAAAGCAGCTCGAGTGTGGCTGGGTTCTGCAACATGCGCAAGCTCCGGGGATTGCGCCAAGCCGTCGTCGTTGCGATCCTCCACTGGGTTTAGGTTAGGCATGAAATCTGGAACAATGCTAATCCGGCGGACGCAGCGGTGTCAGTGTCACCCCTCCAGCGTCCCAGCGCAGGCAAAGCACCTGAAGCCACAAGCGAATGCCTGTCCGATCTAATCCCATGACGATAATGGTGGGGTTCATGCCACCAAAGTTGGTTCAAAAGGCCCCTGCGCTCACAGCAAACAATCGTTGGATTCCAGAAGAACCTAACGATGGCAGAACATGGCATGGCTCTAGTATCAGACAACTCGACGAGTTATCAGAAATCAACTTTGGGGAAATCCAATGATTGGTAGGTGCATAGCAACTGGTATGTGAGAAAGGCAACTGATATGGTTTTGCGTCTGGAACGTAGCCACAAAAGCGCATTTGCGTGTATCAGGTCTGAACTAATAAGCTCCTGTCAGTGACTAGGTAGGATTGAGCCCGACAATACGAGGTTGTGCTTTTGATATTTTTGGATGACGAGAATAGTGCAAGAGCAGAAAGTATAGCTCAATTATACCACAGCTGCTTTATAGTTAACCGGTGTTGAGAGCCGCAGGTTGGCATCCCGCTGACTAGCAGCTCACAGAGTAGCTATAGCTCATACTCACTCAAGGAATTGGCCGCGTACGAGCTTGATACTGTGCCTGCCCAAGCGACATGTGAGTTCACAATGACATAGTTGCACTTGAGAAATGATCATAGGTCGTGTTCTTCATTTGACTGAGGGTATCATGAGGGCCCGGCGGGCAGCAGGGCCAACTATTCGCCTGCCTTTCACAGGCATCTCGCATTGACCTTGCTTCCCACGAGCACACAACACCATACACCAGAACCTGTGCCAATGCCTCCGACCTGACAATGACAGGACCCGAGGCATCGCGGCAGGATCGCAAAAGGACCAACGGGTCTCACAGGTAGCATTTCCTCGTGTAGGTGTGAACGATGAAGTGTCATTGGTCTTTTTTTTCCCATTCCCTATGGACGTTGCCGAAAACGTGATGCCGTTCCATGCTAGAATTCTTCCGTTCCTCACGTAAACACCACATGCAAAAGAAGAACCCACAAACCACCCAAAAGACACTCTAAATCGTCGTCTCGTAGGGGAGAGGGGTGACCGTCTGGGGCTTGTTCTCCTTGAAGTCGACGGTGCGGGCCTCACGGGGCATGAGGGGGAGGCGCTTAAGGGTGAGGGCCTTGCCCTCGGCCTGGGCCCTCTTCTTCAGGGCGGCGTTCTCCTTGACACGGCGGATGAAGTCGTCTCTCGAACGGGAGGGGGAGATGTGCTCGACGCGGATGTTGATGCGCTTCTCGATGTAGCGGTGCTTCACCTTCTTGTAGATGATGATACCGACGGCGGACTTGGTGACGTTGTAGATGACACCGGTCTTGCCGTGGTAGACCTTGTGAGGCATACTGTAATCCAACAAGTCAGCCCTCTGCTCCTGCACGCATTATGCCCATTTTCGCAATTCCTCCCAGCTAAGACCTCGAGTCTCCCAATTGTCGCAATTCGAGTTCGAGGGTGGGTTATTCGCTTACCCCTTCTGGACGGCACCGTTGGTCTTGATGTCGACGATATCTCCGACTCTGTACTGGCGAAGGTACGTGGAGAGCTTGATCATACCCTTCTCACGGAAGTTTCTGCTGAACGCATACTGCAAGCTAACCGTCAGCAATCCGGCCGCAATCTCGAGATGATTCGTAGCTGGGCAATACGTACGCGCGTTCCCGCGCGAAGACCCGCTGGGTGACCCATTTTGCCGGAGTGGTTGTCGTAGAGGGCGGAATTTGGTGATGGTGTTGTCGGGTCTTGAAAAAGATCACGAAGTTCCAGACACAACGGGCAAGGCAAAAAATCGGCGACGTGTGTGTGCTTTGCTGACTCAGTCCCGTAATTCTTTTTTCGTTGTGAAAAGGGCACTGCACGTGATCGTAGGCGAACAGGACCCACAATTTGACAGGCGCTAGTCAGCCCTCGCTCCCCACAGCCATTTTTCGCATTGAGTGTTGCAAGATTCACGAGAGGCTCTTCTTTTTTTCCTTTTCGTTTTCTTCGTCAACCACAATTCGAAGGATATCGACGAGTCGGCAAGATGGCGCCGTAAGTAGACCGAATCGCAGTCGCACCGCCAAATTCAATATGCTAATTCGATTTCGCGCAATAGCCTCACCTACTCCAAGACCTCCAAGGTCCCCAACCGTCCCTTCGAGGCCGCCCGTCTGTCAGTATTCTCCGGCCACTGAACAAGAGCTTGCTCTGTTTAAGTCGTGAATCACACCACTGACTTCGATACGATAATAGTGACTCCGAGCTTAAGCTCGTTGGCGAGTACGGTCTCCGCAACAAGCGTGAGGTCTGGCGTGTCCAGCTTACCCTCTCCAAGATTCGTCGTGCTGCCCGGTATGTGATTTCGGCTCTGTCGCAAAACGGTCGCGTGAGGAACACCCTCTTGGCTAACAACCACCACAGTCAGCTTTTGACCCTCGACGAGAAGGACCCCAAGCGTCTGTTCGAAGGCAATGCCCTCATTCGCCGTCTCGTGCGCGTCGGTGTCCTCGACGAGTCCCGCATGAAGCTCGATTACGTCCTGGCCCTGAAGGTCGAGGATTTCCTTGAGCGCCGCCTCCAGACTTGCGTCTACAAGCTCGGTCTCGCCAAGTCCATCCACCACGCCCGTGTCCTCATCCGCCAGCGTCACATCCGTGTCGGCAAGCAGATCGTCAACGTTCCCTCCTTCATCGTCCGTCTCGACTCCCAGAAGCACATCGACTTCGCTCTTACCTCGCCCTTCGGTGGCGGCCGCCCCGGCCGTGTCCGCAGAAAGAAGGCTGCTGCCGCCGAGTCCAAGGGTGACGGTGGTGACGACGAGGAGGATGACGAGTAAATGCATCGCCATTTATGCTAAGGATTGGTCAAAAAAACTCTGGGAATGGTTGGCACACCAAAATCCAACCATTGGGATCATCGGGGTGTTTATAGTCACGGCGTTCGCCAGAGGCAAAATGGAATGATTGCATCAAATACGGATACCACGAATGAATGTTACACAAAAGTCTTTTTCTTGTTCAGTTCAGGGCACCTCGAGGCATCGTCTTGCATGCGAACGTTTGACAGGGAAATGGGTATCATGTTTGTCCAATGCAATGCTCATAAGCCATGCCTAAATACCTAGGTAGTCTAGACCAATTCATCCTTGCCCAGGAACTTAGCCATCGGGTCGTTCGCCGCTGTCCTCTTTCTCCTGTACTCCTCCATCTCTTCCTCAGTGACACCGCCCATCATCTCTTCTGCTGTCCGCTTTGTCGCCGGCTTGTTCACCGGAGTATCATCCGCCTTTGGAATCTCTGCTTGTTGCTCCATCTGCAGCGCCAACGAAGCACCAGTCCGTTGCCGTTCAGACGCTTCCCAAGCCAACTTGCCCTCCTCACCCGTGCAGTAACTGTTCTTGACCACCGAGTGACAGCATTCGTAGCCCCATTGAAAATTTGACCACCAGCTGCCCCAGATAGATGTGTGATTGTGGATGTACACGTCCTCGGGGTACTTTGACTTGGCGATAACCTTGGGCGCGCCCTTGATGAGGCCGCTCTCGTCATACTCGACATATTTCTCCGACTCGGTAATGACATTCTTCAGCTCATCGGGCATGGTGTATTGCGAGTTATCGCCGTACAGTTCCTTGAGCTTCTTCTCCCGCTCCGCACGTTTCTTCTCGGCCTCTTCCTTCTCCTTCTTCCTGTAGAACTCTCCAGCCGTGGGGTTGGCTTGCAAATGTTTTGTGGTGTCACCACTCTTCTCCTGGGCCTCCCAAGCGTATCGCTGTGCTTGCTCGAACTCGCCGGCGTCGCCTGAGCCGCGCATGAAGCCTTCCTCTGCAAAGAGATTCGCGGCTTTGTCCACTGTTGCGCCGCCGTCCACGAGGGATCTCGTCTTTGGGTCGTACTTTGCGGATTCCAAGTCCAGGTTGACCAGGTACTTTGCCGTATCCTCTCGTATTCTCAGCTGGCGTGTAGCTGTGCTCTGATGCTTGCTCATGTCGTTTTCCTCTGCGTACTTATCGCCATCGTCCTGCTCCTCCTCCTCCGTCTCGCCCTTGGCAAGCGCCTGCTTCCTTAGCTTCTCCATCTCGTTGAACTCCTCGACGACATTTCGATACTCCTTAGAGTCGTATCCATTCCAGCGATCGCGTTTGGCATCCCAGCCAAGCTTGACGTCCTGAACGACCTCGTCGGCCTGAATGTCCCTGCCAGTCCACTTTGCGCCTTTCGCCCTCGGCCGACTGAGGCAGTCTTTGGCTTTGTGCGTCATGGCGCCGCAGTTTTCGCATGCGCCTTTCCGATACTTTGTGGCTGCCGGGCCAGCCTTGCGACCGCGATCGTACCATTGTGACTGCTCGTTTTTCTTCTGAATACGCTGATGCTCAAGGTAGTCGGTCTGGTCATCGCCTTCTTCGCCGGCATAAAAGGGACGTTTACTGATGAAAGAGGGAATGTAGATATTCTCCTCCTTTGCGGCAGCGGACGCCTTGGGGTCGGTCTTTCTCGGCGGCGGTGGCGGCGGCGGCATCTTGGCGGTTGGTGAGGGTATGAGAGGGTTGTTGCTAGAGAAAGTTTGGGCGGCGGCGCATTCACGTCGTGAATTTGGGTCGGGAAAAGCACAGGTGTTGCGGCTCCTTATGTAAGCAGTCTCAGATTTCATGCATGGCTAAGGTATTGATACAAAATGGCCTAGATTTACGCATCCAATTCTCTTTTGGTTCTGTCTTGAATAAGCACGCTATATTCTTGTGGAATTGAAAATCTCGATTAATCCAACATCAAAGCTTCAAGTGTATCCGCCAGCAAGTTCATGGCTGAATCAATGATGAATGGCGACCCTATAGTGAAGTAGAAGGTGCTTAAGCCTGCTTCAGTGAGATGTGCTGGAAAATGCCCCACACCAAGGCACTTTGCTTTAGTGGATGATGACCAGGCAGGATGGCGTCCCGAAGGAGCAAACTGTCACGCGTGTTGCCACATGACTGCGCGGACCCTGGGCGTTTTCTCTTGGCCCAGCACGCGTCGGATTCTGCATCAACATGGCCTTGTCGCGTCGTGAATTCGCTGCTTAGTGTCATTGAACCCGTCTTACCATGCACCAAGCCGACCGCTGCTCTTCCTTATCATGACATTGTTCTCCGTCCTACCATCTCATCCTCCATGAGTGTTTACAGCCTCCACCATGGACCTCTTCCGCGTTCGGTTGAACTGCATAGACCACTACCAGGCGACGCCGACGCATTACGATCCCCAATTACGGAACGATGTCGGTCCTGCACAGGCGAAGAAAGGCCCCAAGGTTCCGGTCGTGAGGGTTTTCGGGTCGACCGAAACGGGGCAGAAAGTCTGCGCTCACATACACGGCGCTTTCCCATACGTCTACGTCGAGTATCGTGGCAGTTTAGAGCCCGAGGATGGTATATAAGTCCTCGAACCATATAATGGACCTAGCTAACTGCTAAAAGTGGGCGCGTACATCTATCGACTTCATCTCTCTATTGACCATGCCTTGGCTGTCAGCTACCGACGTGATCAATTCGGAGAAAATGCAAAGTTCGTCGCCCGCATCACCCTTGTCAAAGGAGTGCCGTTCTACGGTTTCCACGTTGGGTACCGCTTCTTTCTGAAGATCTACATGTTCAATCCCATCGTCATGACAAGGTTATCCGATCTGCTCCAACAGGGCGTTATTCTTAAGCAGAAGTTCCAACCTTACGAAGCCCACCTCCAGTACTTGCTACAGTTCATGACCGACTACAACCTGTACGGGTGTGGCTACTTGGATGTATCTGATGTATACTTCAGAGGCCCTATCCCTTCATTTGATCAAGAGGGGAACTCTCAACACCTTTGGCATGACCGGACGATTCCTAAGACTCGAGTCCTCGACGATCTGACTTTGCCGAGGGTCAGCCACTGCTCTATCGAGGTAGACATTTGCGTTCAACACATCACCAATCGGCGAATGGTGAAGGAGCGTCAGCTACACCACGACTTTGTTGAGCGTGTTAAACCTCTCCCAGCAGATATCAAGCTTGTTTACAGTATGGCTGGTCTATGGAAAGACGAGACGCGTCGCCGCAAAATGAAAATACCCAATGCGGACCCAGGAAGCAGCCCTTTCCCTGCAGAAGTTTTGGTCTCAATGTCTGCGAATAAACGTGACTCGCAACCGCAAGGATGGATCCACGAGGAAGAGTACAGAGAAGAAATCGCAAAACTCATTGAAACCGAAAAGGGGTTGGAAGATTCCGCGCCGCCGAGCTTTGAGACTTTTGTGGAGCGTTCGCCGCTTGAGGCTGCCGTCAAGACCGCGCTCCAGTCAGTAGAAGATTTGTATCCCGCCAACTTGCTACCGGCTCTTGGACTGCCATCGAACCACGCTCTAGCAAACAAGAATCCAACCAGCAGCATCGAAGTTGACGAAAAGGGCGTACTCGATCTCGGTATTGACGATTACGACCCTTATCCAGCCGATTCTGACGAAGAGGATCTCTTTCAGATGGGCGAGGCGAAGGCAAGACAGGACGACCAAATCAACAGCACTGGTATTAATGGAAAGCCATTAGTCACTAGTGGTACTGGTTCAAGAAGCGAACCCGTCGCTGGCGATCTGACAGTCAGGAAGACCGTCAACGGGCTGGGATCTATATACGAAGGCGTCTGTGCCAGCAGGTTGAAGACTGGGAACCCACCAACGGTGCCGGTTTGGGACGATCTGCTCGACATGGCCGAGGAGGAAGGGCTTGTGTCAAAATTGGGCGACCCATCAAGCCTAGGTCATCGCCGTACGGAATCTGTCAAGCGATCGATATCACCGCATGCGATAGCGTCTTCTACCAAACGTCCGAGAACCGAGCCTCCAGTAGCTCCGGCGTCCGATGCAGTAGTGCCCAAACCGTCACTCAAAGGCATCCTAAGTAATAGCACAGCCTCTGAGAAGCATCAGGTCACGATGTTGCCGCCAAACTCCCAAGACAAGCCACGATCGTCTCAAAATGCAGGCTCGAAATCTGCGGCCAATCAGTTATTGGGATTTCCAGTAGTCAAAAGCCAGGAGGACCCGGGCACGAAACTTCGATTGAGCCAGATGAACCCGCCTCGAGCCTCGCAACAAGCTGAAAAGGATTCTCAAAAACGTGTTTGCTTCAATTTAGCATCGGAGGAGACACGTAGCAAGCCCAGTCCGGTCACTCCAGCAAAGAAGGTTCGAATTGCCACTCCTACAACGGATTCACCAGGGACCGAAGCAGGAACAGAAACAATTCTTCATCGGATACAGACAGCAATCGGATCCTTTTCCGCAAAACGCCAGTGTGTGATCGGCGTCCTGCCTCCCGCGCCAAAACTTATCATGTCGACAATGAAGGAGCTGCAGATTCCCGATATGATTTACCAAGATGCCTACTACAGCAAAGAGAAGGATGTCCCGGCTCGTCCCAGGGAGTATGCCGGTCGGGAATTTCGGCTCGAGAGTAATACTCTACCGTTCCTGGCGGAGTTTGATCCAACTGGGACATCTGCCGCCAGCATCGGCATCAAATCAGACACACCCATTGACAAGGCCAAGAACGACGTGCGTTATGAGGCCCAAGCAAGCTTATGTTCATACCGAAGCTGGGAGATAGCTCAACCACCTCCAAGCGCTAAGGAAGTTCAAGATTGGTGGAACAAGAAGCATGTCCTGCAGAAAGCGCAAAAGAATGTCACTGCAAAGATCACGGGCACTCCTCAATCTACAAGGCGCGACCTCTCCCAGATTGACGGACCTACCCCAAAAAACAAGCATGGCTTCAAATACTCGCCCAAGAAAAAGTCGACCAGTGTCAAGCATGAAGCGCAATACATGAGTACTATGGCCCTCGAGGTTCACGTCAACACGAGGGGCAAGTTTGTTCCTAATCCTGACGAGGATGAGGTCCAGTGCATATTCTGGTCTATCAAAGCAGATGGCACCGCTAGCAGTAGTCAGGAAGCTTCAGGGGGGATCATTGCTGGTGTCGTTGTCCTATCGCCAGACGGTTCCCTCGCCCAGAGGATGCGGCGCTATGTTTCTGCAGAGGTTATCGAGGAATCGTCCGAGCTCGATGTCATGGTTCGCATGGTGCAAATTGTCAGAGACCACGACCCTGATATCCTTACAGGCTATGAGGTTCACGGCAGCTCATGGGGCTATCTCATCGAACGCGCCCGGGTAAAGTACGACTACGACCTGTGCGATGAGTTTTCACGTATGAAGAGTAACTCTCACGGCCGTATCGGAAAGGAGAATGATCGGTGGGGCTTCAACACAACGTCGACGATCCGCGTGACTGGCAGACACATGATCAACATTTGGCGAGCCATGAGGGGAGAATTGAACCTGCTTCAATACACGATGGAGAATGTCGTCTGGCACGTTCTGCACCGCCGCATACCTCACTACTCCTGGAGAACCCTGACACAATGGTACAACAGCAGTAGGCAGAGGGACCTCGACAAACTGACGCGCTACTACCTCACACGAACAAGGATTGATATTCAGATATTGGAGTCAAACGAGCTCATTCCGAGAACAAGTGAGCAAGCCAGACTGTTGGGGGTGGACTTCTTCTCGGTCTTTTCTCGCGGTTCACAGTTCAAGGTCGAGTCAATTATGTTCAGAATTGCAAAACCCGAGAACTTTATGCTAGTTTCCCCCAGTCGGAAGCAAGTCGGCGGCCAAAACGCATTGGAATGTCTCCCGCTGGTAATGGAACCCCAAAGCGACTTCTACAACAGCCCGCTGTTGGTGCTCGACTTTCAAAGTCTGTATCCCAGTGTCATGATTGCCTATAATTTGTGCTACTCGACATTCCTAGGCAGGATTGTCAATTGGCGGGGGATGAACAAGATGGGCTTCACCGAGTATCAGAGGCACAAGAGGCTACTAGAGCTCCTAAAGGATCACATCAACATCACGCCCAATGGAATGATGTACGTCCGGCCTGAGATTCGGAAATCTCTCCTCGCAAAGATGCTTGGCGAGATTTTGGAGACCCGTGTCATGGTCAAGAGCGGGATGAAGCAAGACAAGGACGACAAAACGCTGCAGGCGCTGCTGAATAACAGGCAGTTGGCGCTGAAGCTTTTGGCTAACGTTACCTACGGATACACATCAGCATCTTTCTCTGGTCGTATGCCTTGCTCGGAGATTGCCGACAGTATAGTTCAAACAGGCCGCGAGACGCTCGAGCGAGCGATCGCGTTTATTCACTCACAGGAGCAATGGGGAGCGGAAGTCGTCTACGGCGACACGGACAGTCTGTTCGTGTATCTCAAGGGCCGAACCAAGGACCAGGCGTTCGACATTGGCAACGAAATTGCCAAAGCCATCACCGATATGAACCCCAGGCCGATCAAGCTCAAGTTTGAAAAGGTCTATCACCCGTGTGTTCTCCTGGCGAAGAAGCGCTACGTGGGTTACAAGTACGAGAGCAAGGATCAGGTCACGCCTGAGTTCGACGCCAAAGGCATCGAGACGGTGAGGCGTGACGGGACGCCGGCGGA